GACTCCTGCAATGTTCCTGCTCGCTCAGCTGCCTGCCTCAGTCCTTTCTCCTTCTCCCTAACCCCTGGGTAGATCTCATCTAATTCCCTGCCTTTGGTCATCCTTCTTTCTCTGCTGAAGGCTTCCCCACAAGTGTCTCCAGCTGAGCCCCTTTATTAAACAGATTAATATTCCTAACTCCTGGTGGATGTGTTCTAGGTGGATAACAGGAACCTCAATTTTAATGTCAGGAGGGCCTATATGCATCTTCTTGGTTCAAAAGCAATTTCTTCTCCCTACATTCTCCATCTTAGTGACATCTACCATCATCTCCTAGCTCCTCAGGCCAGAAGGTTCTTCCTCTCTTACGTTCTCCAAATGCCTAAATCACCAAATCTTATTCAATCTACCTTCTACAATTACCTCACATCCATCAGTTCATCTGTGCCCATTCCTAGCACTGCCTTAGCTAAGGCCACCATCAGCTCTGATCAAAGGACCCAAAGTCTAATTAACAATACCAGTTTCATGGCAGACTTTTCCTGGAATCAGGCTGGACATAAGAATTTTCGAGAGAATGTAAATTGCTTTTTGCTTTTCTTTTAAGACTAATCTGAAATCAAGGAACTCCCTGCGTCCCTAAAATGATTAGATTTTGATACTGACATAAAAATTGGGTACTACCTTGTCCCAGTTTCTCAGATCAACAAAGATATTCCAAAAGTTTCCTATTAGGCCTAGGAAGTTTGGCTTTCACAAGATAGTGTCAGGAATGTCAACCTTATCCCGTTGTCAAAAAGGTGTCAAAGCTGTCACTAAACTGCCTGGGGCAGTTTGGGAAGCACCCCGAAGGCGATGGAGAATTCCTCATAGTCCTCCCAGACCATGCGCACAGTGGGAGCCAGATTCTGTTGCCCTGGCCCTGTGGGGAAAATCTCCAAGATGGCTGCTGATAGACAAGGCAGCAGTATCATGCCAACGCCTGACCTTGGCAGGGTGAGAGAGATTGGGTCAGATAGGCTGCACTTCCTCAGAAAGTGAGTATGCATACACCCATTTGTACTGCCTGTTGCTTCCTCATGCTATGTGAGGGCAGGGGGCTCAGTCGGGCTGAGTGAAGAACCTATGGAACTCTTTCATGGTCCATGAAACAGAGGCCAGAGCCTCTGTCGTGCAGCCGTGGAAGAGAGAACGTGAAGCAGACCAGGCATTGCCCTCGAGGTGCTTACATTTGCCAAGCAGGGAGTCCCACACCAGCCAAGAGAGACCAGGCCTTGCACTACCCAGTGCACCTTTCTCTATACCCTCTTTCACAGTCACATTGTACACCCTGCAATCTTTGAGTCCGGTGAGTAACCAGTCCACTGTCACAGCAGGAGGGGCAGAAGTGGGCAGAAAAGTGAGACAGGTGAAGGCAGGACATAGGCATTCCGCCAAGCTAGTCAAGGATCACTTCCTGAACTGCCTTTGCCATGACATGCACAGGTTGTCCTCAAATCCCAGGGCCAGGGGGAGCTCTTGGGTATCCTTGGTATTTTAAGTTGGTTGGCATCTTGCTTTTAAATCTGATTTAGTTTCAGTTCAGGGAGTGATCCTTGGGGGAAAGTTCCCTGACATGGAAACCTACATGGCTCAGGGGTCTGCTCACCCACTAATGGCTCTGACACACTGGAAGGTCACTCACACTCAGAGAACTGCAGGCTGCACCTCTGAAAGCAAAGTTCAATGGATGAAGTGCTGTGTGCAAAGGTGTTGTCCCCAACAGCTCTAAGTGATTGCCACGTCTGCTTATAACTCAGAGTACAGATCTCAAGGACCCCGTCATCTAATGTGGGTCTGAGCAGGGAATGAGGTTCTGGGCAGGGACAATGAGGCCTGTATTAGTTTTCTAGGGATACCATAACAAAAGACCACAGAAATTAATTTTCTCACTATTCTGAAGGCTAGAAGTCCAAGATCAAGGTATTGAGGGCTCTCTCCTCGGCTTGCAGATGGTTGTCCCTCTGTGTTCTAATCTCTTTATAAGAACACCAGCCATCTTGGATTGGGGCCACCCTAATGATCACATTCTAACTTAATTTGTTAATTTTACTTAATTACCACATTTTAACTTGTTTTTTGTAGAGACAGTGTCAACATATGAATTTGGGCTTGAGGAGGGGGGCAGGTGCACAATTCAGCCCAATTACAGCGTTTATATTCTGAAAATTCCTGTGAGACTAAAAACTAAAACCCGTGGGGAATGGCCTCATGTCGGGATTGGCCACAATCCACACTGCCTCTCCCTTTTTTTCACACTCCTTTTGAAGGGCAAGAAACTTTTCAAAATTGTGTCTGCTTCATTTTCTACTCCCTTCTGGGAATTCTCACCAGTCTTGTAATGCTTTTCCCTATAACTGTGCTGAGACAAAAAAAAAGCAAACTCTGGTCATTTCCAGGTACAAATAAACAATGATAAAGGTTACAAGTCTTGTGTAGCATGGGCTCTGCAATATACTGTCCCACTCCAACTGAACGGGCTCAGTCCTAAGAGACCAAGAGGCCTGAGACTTCCCCTCTTATCTGGTGCAGGAATTGTCTCCCTAACACAGCTTCAAGTCTGGTCTCACAGCTCTTGGGGCGCTCAGATGCGGGGAGGAGAGGGACACATTCTGCCTTCCATTGGTTCATTGTTGCCCAGTAACTTGAACTCAGAGCCTAGCGCTGGATCACATCTTTAATATGTACAGAGCTCACGTCTCTCATTCGTTTACTATCCTCCAGAAAAGGCAAGGGAGACAGCTGGTGACTTCCCTCCCTAGCCCTAGGGCCGCGCCTGGTGAAGCGTTTCGGCGGGAGCGGAGGCCGCGGGCGCGGGCCAACCGGCGCGCCGCTCTCGGCTCGGGGAAAAGCCCAGCCCAGCCCAGCCCAGCCGCGCCCGGGACTGCGAGTCCTGAGCGTCCCCTAGTGACTCCCGGCCTCAGCTCATTCTCCCCTCCGACGCCCTTCTCGCCATCACCAGCCCACCCTCACTCCCATCCCACCCCCGCCCCCCTGGGCAAATTCCAATTCTGCGCCGCCGTCCCGTAGCAAAAGACGCCCCAGACACCGCGGAAGCGCGCAAGCCGGACGCTGTGGGAGGGCCAGTGGCCGCCGCAAAGGTGCAAACCTGCGTGTCCTGGCCGCGCTTCCAAGAAAGCAGCCGCAACCTCGGCAGCCCAGATTAGTAAATTGACCGAACTCCGTTAAGGCTCGAAATGGCACCGCGGGAAGGGACTGGACCGGACGCCTGACCCCCACTCTTTGCCGGAGCCTACCTAGTTACTGCTTTCCCCGTTCTAGTGCCGGAGGGAAGAGCACGGAGGGCAAGCGATACAGCTCCTTCCCAGTGCTGCTGTGGGTGGCTCTGAAAAGAGCCTTTGGATATGATGGAACCTCGAACCGAGCGCGCACTGCTTAAGCCCGCTCCCCACGGATGCGGCGGGCCAGCTGGATGTCCTTGGGCATGATGGTCACTCGCTTGGCGTGGATGGCACACAGGTTCGTGTCTTCGAACAACCCCACCAGGTAGGCCTCGCTCGCCTCCTGCAGCGCCATCACGGCCGAGCTCTGGAAGCGCAGGTCCGTCTTAAAGTCCTGCGCGATCTCGCGCCCCAGCCGCTGGAAGGGCAGCTTGCGGATCAGCAGCTCGGTGGATTTCTGGTAGCGCCGGATCTCCCGCAGGGCCACGGTGCCCGGCCGGTAGCGGTGCGGCTTCTTCACGCCGCCCGTGGCCGGCGCGCTCTTGCGGGCCGCCTTGGTGGCCAGCTGCTTCCTCGGGGCCTTGCCACCCGTCGACTTACGGGCAGTCTGCTTCGTACGGGCCATAGCCAAACAAGACACAAGCTTACCGACGCCGCAGCAGGGGGAGTAAACGCGATCCCGGCCCGCGGCAAGCAGTCTTTATAGGCACAGTCTTTTCCCGATTGGGCGGGACAGTAATTGAAAGTCCCGCGCTGGCTGTCCATTGGCTGTGACGTTTCCCGTCCTAGAGTCACCGGTTGGCTTGGGCAGAATCCTCTCTAACCCCGCCTCCCCGCCTCCCTTTCTGTTTTGCGGTTGGCCAACAGTTTTCCAACCTTGTTTTTTCCTCATTCTTCCACGATGAAAGTCATTTTCAATTGCAGCTTTGTCAGATTGTTCCTCCCCAGCCCTTCACCTCCTTAGAACACGCTCCCCACCGTACCCCTTTTTCCTTTCTTCGCTGCGTAGCTCCCAAGTTGAACCCCGACCTTCCGTCTGTGTCCCCCTACCCCAGCTGCTTCTTGGCGGAACGTTTTCCGCCCGTTCGGCGCTTTTCTGATGGGAGAGTTGCCCTCCTCCACGGCGCAAGATTGTGCCTCCGAAAGCCTAACAGGAGAACCTGTGTCTCTGCTGCGAAAGCCAAGCGCTGGGGGGCGGGAGGCGGGGCGGAAAGACTAACCCAGCCGTTAAGCCAAGACCCAGCTCCCCCGCACTCCCGAAACCTGCGCGTTCCCCTATCGACGGGGGCTGGGGAGCATGCTGGTGATGGCGAGCACGCACCCCCACCCCCAACACTAGACCTCATCTAAGTATCGGCAAAGGGCCTGCGGGAACGGCTGAGGGCTTGACGTCAGGTGCTGTCTGTAGCGCTAGTGTTCATGACCGAGCCGCCCGCGGGCGCCTTAGGTGTTTGGGGCCTCCACCTGCGCTACTAAGTCCTAAGACTTAGGACTACAAACAAAGGTAGTGATGGGTCGAGACCCGAGGTGGGAAGCGGCTGGGAGCAAGGGGCAAATGGTTCCGCCGCCACCCACACCTTCCGTTATCTCCGGGTTCGGCATTTACTACTAAGAAAAAGGGAGACCGAGGAGACTAGCCAACGTAACAGCTCTTTATTTGAAATAGTGGGTGGCTCTGAAAAGAGCCTTTGATTTCACAGGGGATCCCTATCTGAGATGCGGGCTGGGCTGGGCTTCCGGATGCAGGCCTCACTTGCCCTTTGCCTTGTGGTGGCTCTCGGTCTTCTTAGGGAGCAACACGGCCTGGATGTTAGGCAAGACGCCGCCCTGGGCGATGGTGACCTTGCCCAGCAGCTTGTTCAGCTCCTCGTCGTTGCGGATGGCCAGCTGGAGGTGACGGGGGATGATTCGCGTCTTCTTGTTGTCTCGGGCCGCGTTGCCCGCCAGCTCCAGGATTTCCGCGGTCAAGTACTCGAGGACCGCCGCCATGTAGACGGGCGCGCCGGCCCCCACCCGCTCGGCGTAGTTGCCTTTGCGCAGCAAGCGGTGCACTCGCCCCACCGGGAACTGAAGGCCAGCGCGGGACGAGCGCGACTTGGCCTTGGCACGGGCTTTGCCTCCTTGTTTGCCACGGCCAGACATGACAGCGACAGTCACTGCAAGAAGCTCCCGCTTGACGACCGAGAAAGTCGCCCCAAACGGCTCTGCTTCACCCTTTTATAGGCAGAACGCGGCTTGTCCACGGAGCACTCTGATTGGCTAAAGCATAGCTTTGTCCCGATGGCCAATAGGCTTGCTCAGCCAGAATCCATTCATTTACATAATCTCGTCTCCTGGCTTTGGCGCCGCTGAAAATGCGCCAATCACAACGCAGCGTAATCGGAACTTTAATTTGCGTATAGCCTCTATAAGTACAGAGTCGTTTCCGGTAGACCCCGTTCTAGTCCTACTGTTGCGCTTGCGGTCTTTGCTGCTTGTGCTTGTCGCTATGCCTGAGCCGGCGAAGTCCGCTCCGGCTCCTAAGAAGGGCTCCAAGAAAGCCGTCACCAAAGCCCAGAAGAAGGACGGCAAGAAGCGCAAGCGCAGCCGCAAGGAGAGCTACTCCATCTACGTGTACAAGGTGCTGAAGCAGGTCCACCCGGACACCGGCATCTCGTCCAAGGCCATGGGCATCATGAACTCGTTCGTCAACGACATCTTCGAGCGCATCGCCGGCGAAGCGTCCCGCCTGGCGCATTACAACAAGCGCTCCACCATCACGTCCCGCGAGATCCAGACGGCCGTGCGCCTGCTGCTGCCCGGCGAGCTGGCCAAGCACGCCGTGTCCGAGGGCACCAAGGCGGTCACCAAGTACACCAGCTCCAAGTGAGTCTCTGCCGGGACGCGGCGCTCGCTCGCGCGAGTGGCCGGCCTCTTGACCCCAAAGGCTCTTTTCAGAGCCACCTATCTCCTCCCTGAAAGAAGCTGTCTTCTTGCTGCTTCTCGCAATTCCTTCCAAGTCCCATTCCCCAACACCTACCCGTTTCTTTTCTTAGTTAATGTCCGTCTTGATCGGATGACGGGAACCGAACATTAGGTGGAGCCATATTCTGTGGGTCGGTGGAGAGCTAGCTTAAGAGTGTAAGTTCGTGTACACAGATTTTGCCTATTCCAAAACGAAACCGTATGCAGCGCATACTGATCAATGAAAACCTCAGAAGAACGGAGAGTGAAAGCGTTAAGCAGTGGTTAGCCTAAAGCAATTAGATTTGCGCAGTACTGTGAAGTAACTGCAGTTTATATTAAGTTTTTAAAACTTTGTAGTAACCTAAAATACATATCCGTATGCATATAAATTAAGCAATACTCTTGAAACCATGCCTCAGGACCTATAGTAAACTTTTTTGTCTGTACCTGGGTATCTCAATTCTGTGGTTAAAGCAGTTTTTAGTTTAAACAGCCCTTTTACTTTAGTATTCTTCCAGAGTATTCCTTCCAGTACACTGAATAAACGTGTACTTTCTTGCTCAGTTTCAAGACATTAAACACCATCAGAATAAAATAATACATAAAGGCTGCTTTTTATTTGTGTTATAGATGGTAGACCTGTTTACTCAGGTGTTGATACCTACAATTTCCCATAGTTGTAGTGTGGCATTTTATCATTTTATGGATAAGAAGGAGGAAAGATGCTCAAGGATTGCAAGAAACCAAGCCTGCTAATTATAGAATGTCCTCCAGAGAGTACCCAGCAGCTTGTATTGTTAAAACTACTTAGCCTTAAAAATATTTTTTCCTTCTGTAATGGACAAGGAGAAAACTGCTGTTTCTTCTGTACGGGACAAGGAAAAAAGCTACAATACCATTATAACACCCAACAAATACTGATTCAATAATGACAGTAACTAATATACAATGTATACTCAAATTTCTCCAACTGTCAAAAAAAATCCTGTATAGCTGTTGTATTACTTTCCTATGGTTGCTGTAACAAATTACTACACACTTGGTGGTTTCAAACAACATTTCTTGATTCTCTTACAATTCTGGATGTCAGAAGTACAAAATCAGTTTCACTACCTAGAAATCAAGACTGTGCTCCCTCCAGAGGCTCTAATGGAGAGTCTGTTTCCATCCCTTTTCCAGCTTCTAGAGGGGTTTTTCTGGTTTTATTGTCCTTTCCTGCATCTTCAGAGTCAGCATCCTACCATCTTCAAATCTCTGCTTCTATTGCCTTCTTCTTCCCTTGACCTTCTTGCCTTTCTCTTATAAGAACTTTGGTGACTATACTTGGGGTCTACCCACGTAATCCAGGATGATCTCTCAATCTCAGAATCACATCTGCAAAGTCCCTTTGGCCATATAAGGTAATATTCACAGGTTCTGGGGATTAGGATGTGGACATATATAGGGGCCATATTCAGCCTAAGGAAGCTGTTGACTACTGTTATGGGTTGAATTGTTTCCACAAGTACAAGCTGAAGTCTAAGCCGCAGTGCCTTACAATTTTGCCTTATTTGGAATAGGGTCTTTGTAGATGTAATCAAGTTAAAAATGAGGTCATCAGGGTGGACCCTAATCCAATATGATTGGTATCCTTATAATAAAACATAGAGACACACAGGAAGAAGACTGTGGCAGAGATTAGAGTTATGATGCCTCAAACCAAAGAAGAACTGGGGCTACCAGACACTGAAAGACAAGAAAAGCCCTAGTGGCTTTGGAGAGAGCATGGCCCTGCAAACACCTTGATTTCAGACTTCTATCCTTTAGAACTGTAAGAAAATAAATTTCTGTTGTTTTAAGCCATATAGTTAATGGACTTTGTTATGGTACCTCCAGGAAACTAACAACTATTAAAATTTCTAATAGATTTACATATTGAAAGAAATTGAAAGAAATTAATTAAATTTTTAAATAAAATTTCACGTATTTTTATCCCTGTCATTTCTTTTATAATGATGATAATAATTTTTGGCCTTAGTCAAATATTGATTTTAGCACTTGGATATTTGGTCCAAATGTGTCCTTTGAACACCTCTATTTGTCTTTATCTATGCTATTTGTCTTCTGTGAGACCTTTTGATATGAAAGGTTTATCATCATTTTTTCTTTTATCCTGGGAAATTATTTGTTAATATTCCTGAAATAGTTCAAGATTCAAACTGATTTAAGTATGTCGGACAAATTGGCGTAATTTGAGTCCAAAGGTACAGCAGAGCTCCAAGCTTGGCTAAACTCCATGAGGGGCTCAGTCCTCTGATTCCCCACACTGTGCCCTCCCCTGCATATTCTCTGTAATCATTCTTACCTTCATACCCACAAACCACCCCATCCTGATGCTGCCTCTTGAAAGCAAAGAAACATCTTTCCCAAAAGAAAACAGCATTCTACACTCCCTTACTCAGTTCAATTCCTGAAATGTTAAAATGCCAATTAGATGGGTCTACATTCCTGAATAAATCACAGTGGGAAGGCAATTGGGCCAACATTTAAACTAATCAGCCCAACCCTAATAACTGTGGGTAAAATCACCTTTCTGGAAAACATATGTGGCAGTACTGTTACAGAAACAGAAAAATAAATGCTAATAATACCCATCATTCCCACTGCTCTGTGTTCATAAATAGTCCTTAAAGGCAGTTCCGTATTGTCGTCACTGAGTCCCAGGTGCATCTCTCAAACTGCCAACTGCACCTGTCAACTTGCATATCAGGCCGGGCGCGGTGGCTCACGCCTGTAATCCTACCACTCTGGGAGGCCGAGGCGGGCGGATTGTTTGAGCTCAGGAGTTTGAGACCAGCCTGAGCAAGAGCGAGACCCCGTCTCTACCAAAA